GAAAACTCACTGCTAGGATAAGGACGTAGATCCACAAACCCCCTCACCCAGTTTCTGGAGAAAGACTGATTGACCCAGCTGCCCAGTTTGAGTTAAGTCCCTACTTTCCCTAATTAGATAGACTGTACAGGTAATAGGAAAGAGAAATGTCTCAACAAGTAGTGCTAAGAAAGTTTTGAATCCAGTCTAGAGTCCACTACTTGGCTACCTAGTACACCCGAGTGCACATGCACACACACACACACACACACACACACACACGTACCCACGAGCACATGCTCCCAGAAGTACTATCACAGGGCTTCTGCTGCTGTCCACGATCTCTGGTCAAAACCATTTCTCCCTGGACACAGTCTTGCCATGGTCTATAACCTTACAACCTGTGACATCACATCTGGTGTGACCTGGTGAAGACAAAACAAGGTGGAAACCAGGAAGGTCAAGGGACTGGTCAAGGGACCCAATCACACATTGTTTTCTTCTGGCCAGAAAAATGAATGCATGTCTCTTTGTGGACACCTTGCTTATATGTCGACTGAGCTCCTCGGTAGACCTATCTGGTGGCCACGACTTCTGCCTGATTTAATGACCTCCTTCTTGTGTCCTTCTGGGCCAGACATACAAGAGGAAAACAAAAGCTTTTCTTGTGATGCGGTGGGCGTATGGTCTACTCGCCAGTCTGAGTCACTCCTCGGGTGTATGTAAGACCAATATGGGAGATTTATGGGAAATTTTCAAAACTGTTCGTTAAGCTTGGGAGTTTGCCAGTGACCTGACTCCCTAAAATATTGTTAAATTCCATTTTCTTTTATTTGTGAGAAATGCATTGGTGAATTTTAAGTGCAGAAATGTTGGATAATTATGATTTTTTACTCAGCAATCTCACTAAATGCATAGGCAATTTTGGGGCCTTTAAATCTTTTAATTTTCTTAATTTACTGATTTGCAGGTGTGTGTGGTAAAAATGAACGGAGGTATGAGTCCTAGTGAATTTGTTCTCTAATACGTACCTAGATGTTAGCTCCAGCCTTCTCAGGCTATATTAAAATCCAATGTCTGTGTTCATTTAGCATGAATTTACTGTCTACTAAATTCCAGGCATGGTTCTAGGCATTGTGACTATAACTGTGAACAAAACAGACAATGCTATGTTTCCAAGTAGCTTACATTTTAGTGGAAGGGCACTGGAGAGAGATTGTAAACTATTCAGAAAAATCCAGTCTCTTCTACTTTGAACATATATCTAAATTCTATTTCTCAGTATCCCTTATAGCTATGTATAGCATATGACCTAGTGGTGAGGTGTCCCCTTTCCAGGCCTGAACAATGAAAATTCCCATGCCCATCTCTTTATACCTTATTATCTTTTGCTTATTGAATTTAGGAATGATGGAGCCACAGAGTGGAAGGAGTATGAATCCCTAAATAACTGTATGGAGGAGAGCTGAACAGCCAATCTGAACATCTGCCTAGAAATGTTAGGTGAACAAAAAATAGAAGTTTTATTACGCTGAGCCATTACATACTTGAGTAGTCTATTTGTTATGATGTCAATTTAGTCTACTTTCAATAATGCACAAAGAAAATAAATGTATAGTATATTAGATTATATGGTGAAAGGGAACTCATGTGACTCAACTTAGGAAAAAAATTATCAACCCTATTAAAAGATGGGAAAATGAGCTCAACAGACATCTTTCTAAGGAAGACATATGAATAGCTCCAAAACACATATGAAAAAAATATTCAACATTCCTTATTATAAGGGAGATGTAAATCAAAAACACAATGAGATAACACCTTATCCTAGTCATGGTGGTTAAGATTCAAAAACTAAATGATGGTAAGTGCTAGTGAGGCTTTTGTGAAAAGGGAACTCTCTTACACTGTTAGTGGGAATGTAAATTAGTATAGCCACTGTGGAGAGTAATATAGAGGTTCCTCAAAGATCTACAAATCTCTCTTAAAAGAAAAACCTACAAATAGAACTACCAAAAATCCCACTCCTAGATATCTACTCAAAGGATAGGAAAACAATCAGAAAAGTATTTGCATATCCATGTTAATCGCTACATTATTCACAATTACTAGGACACAGAAACAACCCAAATGTCCATGCACAGAAGAATGGATGGGAAAAGTGTGGCATATATACACTAAAGAATTACTCAGCCATAAAATGAAATCATAAGACCCTGGCATTTCATAGAAAGTGGATGAATGTGGAAGATTTACTACTGAGTAAAGTAAGCCAGACTATGAGAGAGAGACACTGTATGTCCCCACTTAACATATACTGAATGTCCCGTATACTCTATGGAGGAAACTAAAAGATCAGAGGATAGAGACACATGGAGAATGGTTGAGAAAACTGGAGACAGTGTGGGAGGAGGAAGGTAGTGGTGGGGGGTGAGAGGAAGGGAATAAAGGAGAAAAATAGAGAGGCGAGGCATTTCAGGGACAGAAGTGGAGGACTGTCTGCTGGGAAAATTTATTTTACAAGCTGTGATGATGTACAGTGACTGAATGTTTAAAATAATTTAAAACTAAGTAAATAATGACTTTAGGAAAAAAATTTCCAATAAAAAAGATGATAAGCATTAAGCAAAGAAAATAGCAGAGTAGAATTGAGAGTGGGGTGTGTTACAAATGGTGCTGAGGGAAGGCTTTTCTGAAAAATCGTTTGAGCACATTAGTGAAGGAAGTGAAGACGCCAGCCAGCCTTAAAAACATCTGGACGGGGGAAGGGTGGTGGTGACGAAGAAGTATCCCAGGCAGGAGCAATCGCAAATACAAACAACAGGTTTGGCTGGAGCCCAAAGGTATGAGCATCCCGAATTCCTCCGACTCGTCCCAGATCGCCTCATTCAGTCATGAGGATCTCTTATTTTCCTTGTTCTATCTCAACTTTAGCTTTAGAAATGGTATTATATTGCTGGAAGTAGGGAGGAAAAACTTCCCTTTACAAATAACACACTTGTCCTACTGCTGTTTTCTGTTTCTAGGCAGTAATCTTGGACCAGAGCTCGCATTCTCTTTCAGTTCCTTGTTAAAGGCAGGGAGAGGAGGGAAATATCCTGACACTATGTTTGCTACCAGATATTCCAAAGCACCAGCCTCATAGATATGTGGTCTCCCAACAGGAATTGTCCGTCTTCCTTCCCAGGATGAAGGGATCTTGAGAACTATCACTCCCAGCCCCATTCAGCCAATTCTTTAAGTGGCATACATCAGACAGAAGAACGGGAAAAATACCAGTCCCAATAATATTTTTAAAATGCACAAAACTTTGTGCACCACTTCCTTTGCACTGCACAAGATAAATTTTGAAAAACTTGTATTTGTTATTATCATTATTTGATTTTTCTATAGTACATATTCATTCACCAGAGAGAGACAGAGAGAAAAAGAAAGGGAGGAAGTGAGAAAACAAGCCACTAGGTCAGGACTCGAACCATGGTCAGCCATGTGGGAGTCCAGTGCCTTAACCATCATGTCACCTGCTGGCCCCACACAAGATCATTTTTAGCAGCATTGTGTGGGCTAATGGCACAAATTTAGTGTCTGATTAAGTAGTGTTCTAATGCCACATAGATAATTTATAATCTGTGAATCCTTGGGCAAATTACTTAACTTCATAGAGTTGTGGTAAAAATTCCAAAACATATAATGCTTATGAAATACAAAGTACATGGAATTTAGTAAGTTCTTAATAATGAACTATTTTAGCTACAATGTATTTTAGGATTAATATTGCCATCCAATTATTCTTTACTATTTCTTGTTGATGTTCTAAAGATGCCATTTTCTCTTACCTTCACTGTAGGGAGTGAAGAGTTGATGAGGCTAAGAGTGGTCTTGATATTGTCCTTTTTTTCTGTTCCTTTGTTTTCTTGCTATGACCCCACAGTGGGATTCACCAGCTCCCACCCCTAGGCCATCCAGCCTTCAGGTAGTGGGTTCGGGCAATTGATTCTGGCCAGCAAAAAAGGAGGAGTGCTCTTTTCTGTTGAGATCGTGGAGAGCTGTGTTCCTTTCTTCAGCCTCTGTATGGTGAACATGAAGGCCCCGTACTCTTGATGGTGTAGCTGCAAAACTGTGGAGGCGTCCACACCTGGATCCTTGAGTGACTGTGTGGAGTGGTGCCCCAGCTGTCCCGTAGAAGGCAGGTAATGTGAATGAAAACTTACATGAAGCTCCTGGGATTGTGGAATTGTAGGTTACTGCAGCATAACCTAGTCCCCATCCCAGCCTGCTCCCCTACACATCCTTTGAAAAATGATGGAGACAGAATCTATAGAGAATCTACATTCCTACACAGTTCTACCACTGTCAAGACTCTCATTCCAGTCATCCTGTCTGCTACAGTACTCACTGTTTGTAGAGAGAGAACTATCGAACACATCTGATTCTCCCAGCACTGTCACTGTGCTTAGCATCTGATAAACCACAACAATGGCCATTGAATTATTCCCCAGTAATATGGCTCAAGAGCTAGAAGAGGACTCTGTGCCCTTTACCGTAATTTACATTTTTATTTCCTTATTCCAATTCTTCTGAAATCATTGGCATTATGGTCATAAGAAAAATAGGATCAGGGAACCAGCAGTTAGCGTAATGGCTGTTGCTGGACTCCCACGTAGTTGACTGCGGTTCTCGTCCCGGACCCGGTGGCTTAAAACTCACGCTGGGCGTGTGTGTGTGCGTGCCCAAGATCCTGAGAGGAGAAAGGAGGAGAGGGCATTATGACTTGACCATTCCCCGCGGGGGCAGTGATTTCTCATGCTCCTTCTCTCTCTCGCTCTCTGGCAAGCACATACACCTTATAGCAAAAACCGAACACACACACTCTCAGGAGTTCTCCCCAGACCCACTGATACACACGGGGAGTGCTAAAGCCAAGATGTCAGAGGAATCTGCATGTTGCTATGACAATATTGTTTACGTAACTGTTTGTGCCTCAGAGTTCCTATTTGTGGAATGGGGGTGATTTTACAGTTTAAAGAACAATCAAATCAGGTGTTCCCGAGCACAGACTCCAGTGCCGGACTGGGTTCTTTTTTGCAGGATTGTCACTTAGTAGCCTTTGGGCAAGGTGCTTACCTTTCTTCGTCCATAGAATAGATAGGTTTTGTGGAACTGCTGTGAGAATTCCATGAGTTACTGGGCCAAGCATGACCTGCACAGCTATGATTATGTGTTAACTGCTTCTGCTTCTGAAAAGCGCATTTAAAATGTCGAATGTGGGACCAGTCCTGTGGCCTAATGGTTAAGGAAGCCGGATCCCACGTGGCCAGTTTGTGGTTTGGCCCCACGTGGCCAGTCTGTACCAGGCATGCGTGTGTGTGTGCCCCAAATCCAGACAGGGTGGAGTAGTGGAGGAGAAGGGAGGTGCTGCAAGTACACCCCACTGGGCTTGGTTTTTCTCTCTCCCTCTCTATCTCTCTGTCTCATTCTGGTGAGTGCATACACCTCCTTCTAACTTACAAACAAAAAAAGAAAAAAAGTAAGAAAATACTGATTATCTTCTTTCTGCACTATAATTTACTCTCACCTTTCTCCCAGATTTTATTGTAATGAACTCTACGTTTTACCCAACTATAAATTTGACACAATTTATTTAAATGCCTTATCCCTCTTTTGTCTACCTTTCAAAAATAAAAATTGAGGAGATGATCAACTTAGAAGATGGCAGCCCAGCTCGAAACAACATGACAGAGAAGCAGTTCTTCTAAAAAAGGAGGTCTGCTGAGGGAAAGTCCCTGAAGCGTCCGGAGCGCGTTCCAGATGAGTAAAGATTTATGGACGGGAAATCTGGGTCGGCCGGGCTGCAGTGACACGGGCCGGGAGATGGAAACCAGATGTCCAGCGTCATCTCCGAGGCCCACCAGTGGGCAGCCTGCGGAGGCCGGCGAGGGGGACGGGAGGCTCTCAGGCAGGAGGCGATGGGGAGCATGCGGGCTGTGCAGAGGGGAGGAGGGGTGGCTGGGCAGGCGTAATGGGAACAAAACGCCTCCAAAGTCAACTCCTAAAATGGTCCAGAAAGCCCAGTGATCGCCTGGGGTACACGTTTTGTTTTCATGTAAGTTCCCATGGAGACAAGCTCCTGAAGTTCGGGCATTTTTATTGACTTCAATTACTTAGAATACAGAGCTTGTGTGTGTGTGTGTGTGTGTGTGTGTGTGTGTGTGTGTGTGTGTATGTGTATGCGTGTGCATGTGCACGTGTGTGTGTGTAAATGTACACAATGCATCTCAAAATAGATTTCAGTGACATGTCTTCTCCTCCAATCTCTGAAAGAGTCCTGTTTGCTGAGCTGGAAACAAGATTGATTTTTAATGAAATTCTAGCAAAGAGAAGACAACGTAAGTGTGGATCCTCCCTTCTTCCCACTGCCTAATGCAGAAGTTGGAGCGCTTTCACAAGGCCAGCAGGCGACGGCCTGCAGGTCAATTTCAGTCGTCACTTTCCGTGTAGACCGTAGGTTAATGATTTTTTTAAATACATAATTATGAACTAGAAGAAAAAGTGTGAGTAGCTAAGGAAGCCCAAAGTATTTACGAGTCCTTTACAGAGTGTTTGCTAAGCCCTGGTCTAGTGAGGCCGGCACCCTGCGTCAGGTCTGCGTGGCAGTGACGGCTATGAACCGCCCAGCTCTGAGACCGTCTCTGTAAACTCCGAGAGCATCTGCTGGCCTGAGACGTTCACTCCACACCACCCTGACCCCGTGCCCAGCCCTCAGCCTCATGCAAGGGGAAGGCTACGGGAACACACGCTGGCCTGGCAGACGGGCCCTCCTGGCTGCTGCACAGGAAAGCACATGACATTCCGGACCGCGTGGAGCTGCCGTGGCTCCCAAGCTCGGCCTGGCTCTGGGCTCTCAGACCTCAGAAAGGAGCTGGAGCCACAGGCCAGGAGAGGTCAGGAAGAATGTAGCTTGAGCTCTGGAGAAGCCGGAAGAACAAGGCTCACGAACAGGGGCAGTCAGTTGAAAGCCCCCTGGTGTAGGTGAAAATGACCCTGCTCAGATAATGCAATAAACTAATGGCAACAAAAACTCACTGGGTATCATAGTGTACCAGGCAGTGTTTTTGTACTTTTTAAAATAAAATTTTATTTATTTCCTCCAGGGGCAAGACAGAAAGAAAGAGAGAGAGAGAGAAAGACAGCACTCCAACAGGGTCTTGACCTCACAATCCACCCCCAGCCTCAGCCAGCCCTGGGTCAGGGGCACATGCGTGCCCAGCGTTTAAGGGAGGTCTCTGGAGCTTGAACCCAGAACTCTCCCATGCCGGCAACCTAGCGGGGTGTCACACGTTCTTGCTGTCCCATCGTCTGGCTGCCACAACGTTACACTGAATCCTCCTAACGACGTTCCGAGGGTACAGGAACAAATCTGGGCAAAGGAACAGGCCCCAAGTCAAACAGCGGCTGAGAGGTGGACCCACGTCCCGAGGACCCGTTCTTGGCCACTGCCTTCACTGTTTCTCGATGCAGAGTGGCTCCATGTAGTGTCTGGGTGCAAGACCTGAAAAACAGATCTCGGGGCTGCAGGTGGTGAGGTGGTTAAGGCAGCCAGACATCCACATGGCTGACTGTGGTTTGAGTCCTGGACCCGGTGGTTGAAAATCACACTGGTGTGTGTATGTGTGTGTGTGTGTGTGTGTGTGTGTGTGTGTGTGCCCAAAACCCCAGGAGGAGAGTGGAGGAGGAGGGATTGTGGTGTGGCTATACCCCTTAGTGGGGGGTGACTTCTCACTTTCCTTCTCTCTGCCTCTGTCTCTCTCCTCTTCAACAAGTGTGCTAGACCTATAGCAAAAATATAAAAAAAAAAAAAGAAGAAGAAAGAGAGATTCTTATCTGTATTTTATCACCTTTTTTTTTTTGAAAACCTACCAAAATAAAACCCTAAACATGAAGGTGTCATAAAACGCCATTCCGCATCTATTTTCTATGGAGTCTGAAATGTGCCGTATGGGGCCGACCTGAAGTGGCCCCGGGACACAGCATCACTCAGCCGCGGCCCTAGGCCTGCCCCACTGGGTGCAGTTTGCACAATTTCAAGTAAGAAGTCTCCTGATGGTTCCTATCTTTTCTCTTACGGCAACGTGTCTGGGTACCTCCAAGGGTATTTCTTTAACTTTTTCATCCAAGTGGTTCAAATAGAATGTGCCGACGGGTGTTCCTCCCTTAGTGTGTGTCCTATTCCACGGTTCTCTGAGTGTCTTGGATCTGTGCCTTTTTCCTTCTTTTTTCCAGGTAGGGTCTTGCTTTGTTGTCCCTACCAGCCTCGAGCTTGAGGCCTTTCTGCCACGGCCCTCCGGGCGCCCACAGGCTCACCAGTCTGTGGCCCAGCCGTTCTGCCTCAGCCCTCCAGGTGCCCAGGGGCTGCCAATACGCGGCTTTTAGGCTAGGCTTGGAGAGAATGCAAGGGCCTCGGGAACGGCGTTAGCGGAGGAATTCTGTCTTCCCACGGTCGTTAGTGCTAACACAGCCATCGGCACTTCCAGAGGGCGTCCTCACACAGCCCCGCTCAAATCCAGAGATGTGGAAACCCTGCCTGATTACGTCAGAAACACACAGCTTGGCCGCAATGAGGTTAATACTACCCGATGGCATTTGCTGAAGCAGTGGGAAAAAATGCAGTTACCTGCCAGCATTTGCTGCCAAGAATTCTGTGAAATTTCCTGATAGAACAATAATTACTACTGGGTTACTCCCGATACCAAACATTTGTGTGCTGTGTGTGTTTGTTTCCTCCTCAGTTTGCTGTAAGGCCGTGTGTGCGTGCCAGAGAAAGACAGAGGGAAAGTGAACGCGCTCCTGGGGCAATGGCCACACCATAATCCCTTCCCCTCCCTTCTCTAGGGGTCTTGGGCATGCGTGCACACACGCCCACATGTTTTTCAAGCCACTGAGCTCGGGGCTCAAACTGCGCAGGTGGTCATGTGGGGTCCAGCCACCCTAACCACTGCGCCATGAACTGGCCCCAAACATTAGCATCTTTAGGTTGAGTAAAATGAAGGTGAGGTCAGAATTATGGGACAAGAGTGGCCCCCGTCATCCTGGCTGGAACTGTTATAAAGAGGGTAGACTATGGGACTTTCTCCCGAGGCCTCTATCTTGGGTCCAGACGCGGGGGAGGCATTGGGCTGAAAGGCACCAGGAGACACCCAGTTGTCACCGAGGCTGCACCATTGTTCCGACTCTGCCCCAGGGTCGGCGACATGGCTTCCTCTTCCTGCACAGCCAAGGGTCATGTGGGTTACGAGCAGGA